GGCGTACGGTGCGGGGCTTTCGTGCGTGGAATAGGCTCAAGGCCTACGCCGCGCCGGTGTAACGCCAGAGTAATCGACTACTTACGGCATACTCTGCCTACTGCTCACTGCCGGTATATACACTACTATATACACATATAGGCCCCCGACGAGAGCTACCTGCTCTCCTGATCGCCGATCGATCGATCGCGTATCTGATCGTACGAGATCGAGGATTCGTAGAAAGATGCGTGCGTGTATAATAGTGATCGAGTCATTCGCGTTCATCTTCACGATGCTTACCGTCACGATCTTCGCGTGCGGATACGTCCGATAAAACGTCATCCTCTGTGGAATCTCAGAGAATTACTTTTATGCATGCAACACGAATATATATTTATTTATTTACGTATCGCGGTATGAATATTAATCGGAGGCGTTAGATTTAATTCTTAACATTGTCGATGATACTGCTGTAAAATGTATACAAGTAACAAATGTTCATATTAATTGAATTATGTATATTGATCGACAAAGTTGTTTATAATAAGATTGTTATTAATTAAAAATGTTCCTTCTATCGTTAAAAACAAATTTTGATTGAGATCCTTCTATTACAAAAAACAAAAAATAAGAATATGCTTCTCGATATATTTTAATGAGAATATTTTATTGAACTGCAGTTGATGAAACATATATATCTTTTTCCTGGCTCCTAACTAACTATCGCTAAATAAAACGAAGCACGCGGAGTGAATCATCAATAGGATCTTCTTTACACAATACGCGTGCTCAGCGTGCTCGCGGATACCGCCTTTTAAGTACGCATTTACAATACGCACGCCAACTAGTATATTATAGGCGGAAGGCGAGTTGTAAATTTTGTTTTTCAGCACGATATCTTCATTCTTTCTAAACACGTTAATTTACAATGTTTATATAAAAGCATCTGATAATTATTTCTGGAATAATTTACAACTCGTCAAGTTCGAATCTGCCACTCAAATATTCCTGTTAGAGTATCGATTATATAATTTGTTTCCTAGGGCGGAAAAAGTGATTGCATGATCGGAAATAGATCGAAAAAAGTTGCGTAACCGATACTCATTGTCGGGTCAGGTTTTTGAGGCACAAGAATAATGGTATGTGCACTTTCATTGAAATTAGAAAACAAATCAGAAATGTGTAACATTTAATTTTTGTTTTTATATGAATTTGTAATCCAAAGTAAATGTAAAATGTAAATAATGCAAATAATAATAAATGAGAATCAACCAATATGTGGATAACACAAATAAGCGAGAAAAGTAAGGGTAAGACTTTGTGTGGTCAAAGCGGATCTTGATGTCTACTAATATTTTTGCATGAATTTATTATGCAATATTCAGTTTATGCAAACCTAAATTAAACCTGAAGTGTCACATCAAATTAAATTGGTATATAATTTAATTTAATAATGCAAGCAATTTAATAATACTGATACTAATCAGCATCTTAAAACACTAAGAAATTTATTACGAAAAATCTCACTCCAACCAGAATTCGAATCTGGATTTCCCTACGTTCCGTGACGAGTGTCTTTATCAATTCGACCACTGACGTATACTTTTCGCAATAAATTCTTTACATTATTTTAAAATAGTCAATAGTATCGATATTATTAAATTGCTTGTCAATTTATGAGATTTTATGTTGTATTCCAGTTTTAGTTTATAAGTGAGTATTTCAAGACTGATAAATATTAATCGGCGCAGTGTTCACTGGAAATTGTAAAATTCACGCAAAAATATTATCAGGCACCAAGATCCAACAGAGGACAATAATGCAACATGCTGTATCTAAAAAATTTGACCTAATTGATTTTTTCTAACGGCAGATTTGAATTCAGCACTCTAAAATACATTTAAAAACCGTTTCCATTTCTCGTAAAAATTACTTATTCAAAACATCTAAATTAGTGATATTAAATTGTGAAACGTATCTGTTATCAAGAAATGCAATATAGAACATTGCATGCTAGATTTAAATCAATCCAAATATCTGATATGATATTTTCATAAATCTAGTGATAGTTTTTATTTATAATTTTGTAACTTCCGTTCCTGACGGCTACATCATTATTTGGGAAACATGAGATATGCTACATGTATACCTATTATTCCGGAACTATATATATTTTATGAGGGAGAGATTGCGTTTGACCTTAAGAGATATAAACCTCGAGCGTTGTGCTTATTATAGTCGTTTCACAGATCGTAATAATAATATCTGAAAAATAATATCTGAAAATAAACGTTTCAAGCACGATAGTTTCTATATTCGTAACGTTGTAAATTTTATTCTGACATAGCACTCACGCATTTCCGCACGAGAGTACGGGTGCGTAGCATACTTCTTGCCGTTCGATGTGCATTAATTGGACGGTAAGACCGAGCACGTTCCCCGTGCACAAGCGGAATTCCAGTCTAGTAACCATACGCGTGATTGTCGGTTTAAACCCTTTAAAATATTTTCCACGACATAATAATACAACCTGGCATACATCAAGTATTTTTTTTTACAGTCAAGTTCGTATCGACCATAGTCCTCGCATCTTAAGTCTTGAAACTTTATACGATCGTAGGACTTGATCGAATTATGGCCACGAGAGTTTAATTGCGAATCGCTATTACACTGAGAAAAAAATTTGTTCAATGAACACATTTAGTTGTTTGCAGATTTGGTTTATTCAACAAATTTGATTTTTTTAATTGAATTTAATTTTAGTCTGCTTAACATTCAACAGTTTTTGTTAAGCAGACTACGATTAAATTTGATTAAATCAAATTTGTTGAATTAAACAAATCTGCAAACACTAACAGTGTTTACTTTGTTGAACAAATTTTTTTTCTCAGTGTAGAAAGAAGAAAAACAATTAATCGAAAGAGAGGTTTATATAAAAATTAACCGATATGGTAAATATTTGACCTAAATTATTAATTTATGCGTGTATGTGAGAAATAAAATTTTTTTTTTGTTTGATCGACTTGAATCTATCAATTAATCGATCATTAATTATTTTTTATTTGTGGTCATTATTTAAGCAAAATGTAAAAGTTTACAAATGATTGTTGAAGTAGGAAAGGAAGAAAGAATAGATATAAAACTAAGAAAATAAGTCAAGTTAACTTAGGCCATTAATTTAGTTCATTATGATTAAGAAAGTTTTTACTTCAATTCGAGAGAAGATAATATACGCGGTAATAAAATAAAAAAGAAAATTTTGATTTGCAATTTTTTCTTTAAATATGATTTTAGAGGGTAGTATTAAAACATTCAAACGCGCGTTCTTTGTTTTGTAACACGATTACACCATCTGTGATTTTATATTGTAGAAAGAGGGGATCGTGACAAATTTAGTTGTACGAAAGGGAACTCGTTGCTACATAGGATTCGGAAAGCGCTGGATTAAGGCAATCATCTAGATCACGCGGCATTGTGAAACGAAACGATCCCTCGCGATTGGATCATCGGGATTCATAAGCGGCGCATAGATTTGAGTCATCGTACGCTTGATTGTTCACTTTTCTCGGAAAAAAATCCGCATAGGCTGATGTTTCTTCTCCATTCTCATTTACACAATACAGGAAAGGTATTAGAGATTTTCTCGTGTATACGATGAGGAATTGCAGAGGAGATTTCACGGGTTTGTGAGGAAGATTTTTGAATCATCCGCGTTGAGTCATTTATCCATATAAGAAAACCTCGCAAAATGTCAAATTCTGATTTTAATTTTGTGTACATGTACGGGGGGGGGGGGTAGCATAAATATTATAGATTCTAAAGAATATATATGTGTTTATAAATAGATGAATTCAGAAAATATCAATTGTTGCCAAAAACGGTTTTAAGGAACGAAATCACCTCTTATATATGTAAAGCAGTTTTTGGTTTTTCATGTTTCGCAAGTTATTCAAGGTATCAAAAATGTTTTATACAAAGTTTTAATAAAATTAGCTCTATTTATCCACGTCAATAATATTTAAAAAAATTATTTCTTTTATTTATAATTGTAATTTTTTTTATGTACTCAAAAGTTCATTAAAATAAAGGTTTTTTCTCTCGGTTCGGTTCCCATTCCAGTTTAATAAAATATCAAATAAATGTTCCGATTTCAGTTTCTGTTTTTTTTTTAACCATTATAAAAGAAAACCAAAACTAAAAATTATGGTTTTTTAACGATTTTTTTTCTGTTCTTACTCGCTTTATTCTATTTATTCTTTAAATTTATTCTATTAAGGAGAGGGAGGGGGAGGAGGAGGAGGAAAAAGAGAGAAAGACTGAACAAAAATTATGTAAACATTATTTTAAGCACATTTCTCTCAATCTTTTCTTATAACTTATTTTATTCTTATAGATAAATCTCACTTATTACATAATTCATGCAGCACCGAAAGTTTTGAGAAATATTTCAGAAGTATATTAATTGAAAAGTAAGATATTTCATAAAAATTGCGAAATATGTCTGCAACGTTTCTGAGATAGCTCTGAAATAGCAAAATGTCTACGATTCTTGCACATGAAACCTTGAAAGGTTGCTGAAATAGAAAGAGAATCTGCAATTTTTTTTAAATATTACCAAAAAGTTACAGAAATACCTGAAATCTTTTTGAAATATTGCCGACCGTAATTCTCTTACTCGAAAGGATTACGGACAGCAACAAAAAGTTTTCAGCTATTTCTAATACTTCAGAAATTATATTTAAATATACATATATAATATTGAATTGATATTTAAGTAATGTTTAAATTTACTATGTCGACATAATAAATTTAAATATCGTTTAAGTATCAATTAAAAATATATTTAAATATTATTTCTGAAGTACTTAAAATTGATTAATAATTTTATGGTCTGTTTACAGATTATAAAATTTATTGAAATAAACTTACAGTATTTCTCAAAAATGATAGTTAAATTTGTTTTTATTAAGAGGATTGCAAGTAACTGAAACATTACAATAAATATTTTGTATAAAATAATGTTGAACATTGGTGATTTGGACGAAGGAACGGGCAGAACAAAGATTAAAAACAAGGATAAAGATCGAAGATTAGAAACTGAAAAAGAACTGAAAAAAACCGTAATATTTTACCGGTTTGATTACAGTTTCGGTATTACTTCGGTATTATAAGTTTTACAAAATTTGGGTATGGTTTCGGTTTCCATTTATTAAAAAATTTATTTAAAAAAAGAGTTTCGAAACGGTTTTCGGTTTCGATGCGGGTCTCTGTTATAATATGAATTCGACACTTTGCGAAGTTTCCTTGTTAGTTTAAGACTGATTTATATAAATCACTTCGAAATATTATGAATCTCATCTCTCTAAATCTGAATCAGTGGATAATCACTGATATCAGTGCCAAGTATGCCACTGGTAATCAGTGAATGATATGTGAGATCCCTAACCTAGCTAATCTTTATTATGTGATCTAACTAACTTGTTTTAATGCATAAATTCAATGAATATGGTATTGGAAGATTGAAATTAACATGCAAATATCAGTATTTTAGTTATATAATGCTCAAACATTCTTCCTTTTTTAGTTGAACTTATTATCCAGTGTTAAGTATATCATTGGGTAATTATTGACTATCCACTGATTTAGATTTAAAGAGCAGTGACACGAGAATATGAACTAAAACGATACATCATTTTCGATATAATCCTGTAAAAATTGGATCGGTCTGAAGGATTTAGTGTTGAACTAATAATTAATTTAATGTCTGTGTATGTGGAGAGAAAAGCAATATCTATGTTTTATAATTTTGTTAAGTCACAAGGGAGACGGCATTTTTTGATTGTTTTTTAGGTACAAGATACATGTAAAATTTTCTTTGATTGTGATGTAAAGTTACTTTCACCAATCAAATTTTGTTACATTTTACAACAGCCAAACAACGAACATAAGCTAAAATGTTCTGATATAATTGCTAAGTGTGTGGATCGTTTCGTAATTCTGTTAAGTAATCTTGATGATTTACCTGTAGTTATCTGATATTTTTTTACAATAAAACATTATTTTTAATGGAAAGCAACAGATATGGATGTAGTAACAGGACAACTTGGTGTATTTTGCAGTATTATTTTATGAGATAACTGATAAAGTACGCACTTGACCTTTGTTCGCTCCACTTCGAAAAGTCAGCAATTTGCTACCGATAGACATGTTGCAGTCCCTCGCAAATTCCCTCGCTATTCTCGCAAATATTTCAGCAGCATATTTGTAACTGACGTGTACATACACGAATACATCGTTCATTTCAATATTCAATTGATCAGTGTGCATATTAATCGAAATGTCAAGTTGGTTTCTATAAACTCTATCAAATTTTATGGGTGAATAGAGGCCGGCTGATACAGTGTCGTTCTCGCGTTGTGAAGGAATTAGAGAGGGCGAAAGAACTCAAGACAAACAAGCGGAGAGAAAGCGGAATAAGCAAAATAGAGAACCACACCCCTCTAAGAATTGTTTGCCTAACGATTACCGCGCGACAATATTGTCATGCAAAATCTTAGCTTACAATTCAAATTATGAGCATATTACTGCGTAAGTTTAATGCATACGACCTCATAGTACAGTAAACGCAGAGGTTCGCAATCTTTAACGATATAATTGCCCCTAATTTCTTCCGCGTCGCAGCGACCAATAATTATCCGAATTTTAAGATAACAAAAATCTACGAGAGGACATACATTTACTATTTCTTTCTCTCTCTCTTAGGAATTTGTTAAAACATGACGGACCAATCAAAAGTGATTTTCTCAGACTTTTACTAGAAGATCTCTACACTTAATAATCTTATCGATGGATGTTTTTTCGCAAGAAACAGTGAAAAATAACATTTTAGAGAGAACGTATTATATTTTATAATAATATTATCGGGAGAATTTCGTACCGAAACATTGCGACACGACAACTTTCGAATCTCACGTGAAGGGTACTCAAGGGAGGAAGAGAGCAAGCGAGAAGAGGAGAGGAGAAGGACACAGTCTGACCTACAGAGAACGTATTAGCAATCGGGCAAGCGAGCCCTCTGTGTGACGCTTAGTGGGGGCGGACAAGGGTAAACTGCATACATATATCGACGATAAAACGCGATAACGGTGGCGGTGGCGATGGCGGTGACGGTGATGGTGACGGCAGCGGTGTTGCGTCCAGACGAGGAGAGCGAGGCAGAACGAGGGAGGGGGAGGTAAAGCACGGCTTCCCGTAGGTCGTGGGACGGGGCGGGAGGAGAAGGGTGGTTACAGAAGGGCGCGGTAGCGGGAAGGGACGTGGCGGAGTGCGGTCAAGTGTACTGGGTAACTAGGTCAATGAGAAAACCGAGAAAGAGCGACGTTGTTGTAGGAGCGCAAGCGCAATCGCGCATCCGATTCCGACCATGTCCTCCCTTTCTCCCTCCCTCCCTTCGTTCGCTCTCCCTGTTCACCCTCTTTTCCGAAAGCCCTTCCCGAAAGGTTATGTATTCGTTTCTGTAATCTAATTCCTCGAGTCGTCTCTCATACATGCCAAATTCATTTCTCTCGTCGAACGCGACGTGCGGGGTGAAGGATTTCAATGAAGATATCAAGACGTCATTTCGTTGTTTATGGGGATACGCGGAAAAATATATCCCTCAGAAAAAAGTTTACGATGGAATAGACACATTTATTACCATAAATATGGTGGGCTTTTTCTCTTGATGTTTCTTCGTTCGGATCTTAAATAGAGAGAAGATATTTATTTTACTGATATATCTCTCATTATATAAAGAATTTTTTTTCTGTAAACGTTTTACTAGCTGCTCCGTCATCGGTCCAAAGTTCCGTTCTTCCAAAGCATCCTTTATAGTATCAGTTATTAATTGCAAGTTTATTCGGAGGCGATCATAGTTCAATCGTTCTCCTCTTCGGGTGCGGTACACTTCACGCTGCAAATGTTTTGAAGCATTCTTTGATTGGTCAATTCGTAAAATTCTTTCTTCTAATTGGTCAACGAAGTATTTGCAGCGTTAAGTGGATCACACCGTTCGTCAAAATGACGAGGATGCGTATTATCGGTCGCAGTTGCTTCTTCGAGCTTGAGCATCTTTTATCCTGCGTGCCAGTGCGGTGACAAAATGCTTATGGACGCGACAGTTCGCAAAAGACGTAAATTTTCACACGACTTCGTAAATGGGACGGTTACAGCGGCGTACAATGAGATTTTAAGGCGTCAAACTTTAAGTCTTAAGTAAAAAATTGATCAATCACAGTTTTAAATGTGAAAAGAATAATCGACTATAATTGATAAATTTCTTATGGCTTGAAACTTAAAACTTAAGTTTTGCTTACGCTGCACGAATTTTGGGCGATTTCGATTATTGATGCTAAATACCAAACATGTCGATGGCCGTGTTGTTACGGTATTACCGAAATAAAAATTGCAAACTTGACAAAAACGTGACGTGATCTCCACACTGGAAGAAAAGATTGGCTGCTGTAGCAAATTAGATGGTAAAATATGGCACAGCATTTTTAATTGGCTGCAGCAGCCAATTTTTGGTTGCATTAGCCTACCCGCAATGTTAACATAGGATTTTGATAGGCTAACGCAACCAAAAATTAGCTGCTGCAACCAATTAAAAATGCTATACAATATTCAGCCAATCTTTTCTTTCAGTGCAGTCATATAGGAGAAAGAAAAAAAATATAATTTATTCATATTCATATACAAATGAGGTAAAATAAAAATTTGCTCACTTATATATCACAATGAATTAGCTATTTCTCATACTTAAGTATAAATCCAAGCTAGTAGACTCGTTAAGCTAGTATATAGTAGCATACGTTTCATAGTAAAATATGTATCGATCAACGGCGAGATTATCCGTTGTCGCAACAAGTGTATGAATAATGTGCATATCGTCGCTAAACGCGCCACCGATGCCAATTCACTTTTGCCGACGTTATCGTTAATACTGTCGCTCTTACGATGGCAAACCGGCTCATTTATGTACAGACAGACAACCTCGGGCAATACCGTCATCGAATTTGCTATCGTCGTGCTCTGTGTTTTATCGCATGTGTACGCCGATATTTGTATATTGTTTACCCTCCCTCTTAAAAAATATTTCGATGTCATCAAATTTCAGCGTGTTGTTGCGCTCGTCTCCTCTGTCTCGGGTAGGTAACATAACAACCCCCTTTCATCGCGCGGTTCCAAGTTGTCGCGTCGCTCGGAATAAAACGCGGTGTTCGCGCACGCGCCAATCTCGCCTGTGTGAGAGTGCCGACACTGCCGACACTTTACCACCACACCCGTACACACACGTACGCATGGAGATCCCGAGCGCCGAGCAGTACAAGGTGGTCCAAGTGCATCGGGTAAATGGGTCAAGCGAATTAATTTACGCTGGCTGGCAAGCCGCGCTTCGTGTCTCTCGCTACGCACAACAAAAACAATATGGAACACGCCGTGGTTACAAACTGAGCGAGACTCGCACCAAATACATTTCACGGAAAGTATATATTTCGTAAACACGAAAACCGCATTAACGCACACCGATCTTGTATCTCGTCCTCGATCAAAAAATATCACAAAACTGAAATTACTTTTGTAATTCCGCGAATAAATTACATTTTGTGATATCTGTGTCATATTCTGCGATTTGTATGTTTTTATGTATTCCGTTGTGGAAAATCTCTTATCCCTCTGATTATAAACTCTTTTAATTTCAAATATTACTTATCTTGAAATTGAGCTATTGCCCTCATAAAAATAATACATTATGTATGTATATATAGAAGAATTAGAAATGTTTTACTTTCTTTCACACGAAAATTACTGTTTAAAATTCCAAACAGAGTTCCCCTAATTAAAATTACCAAGAAATGTGAAGGGAATACGATGTTTCAAGTGAAATTTCCGGTGTCTCTCTCTATACTCAACATGACCTTAATATGAACAAAAGTTTATGTGCGTTTTACTTGACGTTACATCTTTGAGCGAAGATTTATCTATAGCATTACGAATACATGTTATCATAACTTCGCTTAGTTATCATCGATGCCTCTCAAACGTCTTCCGGCAAGAACGCGACGGAAACTTATGCGCGCGA